CTCACAGGTTTTCACAGAAGTCTACACTACAGGGTCTCTTTATAAACAATTTTCAGAGTAATTTGCCCTGTGTATCTCTGAGAATGTGTGTTCTTTGCGAATAAAGGGAAGCATTAATGTTTTTTTAATATTTTCTTTTCTGGTCGAATGTAATATAAGGTAAAATTGCATTATGACCACTAGACAGAGCTAAGGAGCATAGAAAATACAAAGTAGCGCTATCTAGTGGCCATATTGGGGTATTACATTAAATTACATTCAATCTGAAGAAAATATATGATAACAATGTTTGGGTTTTGCCTCTATTCGCACAGGACGCACGTTCTTAGAGATTCACAGGACGAACGGTTCTGCCAATTCTTCATAAATAGACTTCTTAGAAAATATGTGAGCCAATCACACAAATAGGAAATTATGTTTCAGGTTGCCATACTGCATTGAATTTCAGAGATTCACAGGGTGAATGGCCATGTAGATTGTTTAAAAACAGACCCCTAAGGTACAAGTAAAATTTTAGGCATCTCCTGCAATAGAAATGTTTAATCTTGGCGAGATACTCCCTAAGGATTTCCAATCCAAAATTTGATTTGGTCCGTTATTCGGATTTCAGTTCCATTAGAATTATTATTTCGGAACAAAGTGACATGACTGAGCCTGCAATGCAACCCTCAACAGCCAAAAATAACCATCTGATTGGCCAGAGAACAGTCACATGTTCGATTTAATTTACTTTTGAACGAAATTCAGATGGATACAACTTTACGTTAAATGAGCATTCGGATTCATTCACATTCGGTGTTAGAATGCAGAAATGTGGATGCATTCAAATGTCCAATTTTAACTTAATTTGATTCATACGATTATCCAATCGGAACAAAATGAAATTGACATGTCTACTGATAACTTCCTGTTCCTCTGCCTGTACTGCACTCATATTAGTTAGCATTGTTCCCAGCTCTCTCTGTAGACTACAGAACACCAGAAGAGGGGAAATTGTTCAGTAGTCCTACAACACTTCCTCTACTACAGTGACAACACTGCTTCTCCAAAGGAACAGATGGTTCCTGTCTAAATTGGCCCTAGTATGCATGTACATGTGCCATAAGGACCTTAGACTGTAAGCTCCTTGAGGACAGGAAGTAATGTGAATGTACAGTATGCAAGTGCTATATACTGTACATACCTGTAATAAATAAGCATTTAAAAAAATTCACAATGCTGATAAAACTAAAAGTTTCAAAAAGAGATCCTTGTATATAATGATTCTAAGGCTACTGAGATACCAAGATTGGGTGCACAGAGGTGGGGCTAAAACTGGCCTTTATTTTGCCCTAAATGGGTTAGAGGTGCTCTTGGCCATGTGTATGAAAAAGCAATTTGTGGACCTTTAACCAGTGTCATATCTAACCAGTGTCATATCCAGGGTATGGCATATATGACACATGTCCTGGGTGCCACTTGAAGGGGAGGATGCTGCTCAGACAGCTATTTTCCTCTCCCCAACCCTATCTCATACACATCGCCTGTGTATGCAGGCAAAATACTTTGGCTAACATCCTGACCAGCTCCTTGCAACCATTGACATCACTGGTTGCTATGAGCTGGGCAGGATGCCGGTCAGAGCGTCCCAGGTTGCTAAGAGCTGGGCCGGGTAGATGTGTATGGCCCTTACACATCCCCGCACCCGGCTCTTAGCAACCTGGGATGCTTTGTGACATCTCTGGTTGCCAGGAGCTGGGCAGGACACCAGGGGAGCATTTTATTGTACATACACCTCTGCCTTTAACTTAACAAACTGAAGAAAGTCCAGCTTGACCATCTGAAGGCTTTACCATGTTCAGATGAGATTTTTAATCCCCTTAGTGTCTGTCAATTGTTTTCTGCAACAACCGATCAAAAGGCTGTTCCAGTATACAAATATTGACTTCAATCAGGAAATCAAAATGTTGGCCCACCTCCGTCTGCCCTCCAACGACTGCTGTTTGGCACTAAATTTGATGTGCAGCCTCATTGACCAATGATATGAGATGGTGGGGGCAGGCCAAAGCACAAATTTGCTAGCATAGTTTTTTTATGATACACCAGAAAACAACAATTATTGTAGGAGTTCCTGCTCAACTGTGGCATTATTATTCATAAAGCAGGTCATTATATTGGTTAGAGACCGTGCCCCAGTTGTTTAATTTTATATGGCAGATCGCCCCAGGGTCAATTTGACAACATATGATGATGCATTAAAACTCCTGAAGTTGCCTGCCCTGAGCTCCAGCTGCAATTTTATTTTCAAGCAATATCTATGTGATACGGCAATAATGTGTTGATGTTTTATACCTTTCTATTATATACAGTATATTTAATTTCTGTTTACAAATACATTGATAACACATGGTACACCCTTAGTATTCCAAAGCATCATGAGTCTCTCAACAGCAGCTGCTTGGTTTAATAGAAACTCTGTATTACCCACTTTGAACAGAGCAGTAGGAAAAGGGAGAGAGGTGGAAAGAGTCATTCTTCACTCATTCAGGTCTGTTAGTAAATTTCAGCTTGAGCTATTGAGCTCTATAACAACAGGTAACAAGTAGATTGGGATAGCCTGGAATGGAAGCCTAACGCTCACATTGCTGGAAACATAAAAACAATCTGGAACATAATAAGAAAAAATATATGTTCAAAACACAATAAATTCCCTTTGAAATGCCTCATGAGCTGCCTACATGAAATATCAGACAAAACATTGGTCTTTGCAGTTGCTTGTAGGGAATGTAAAGCAGCAACCAGAAGCTATAAATCAAACCACAATGACTACTGTGCGTAAAGAGGGCACATTTCCTTTAATTTACCCATTTCTAGTCAATGACCAATTGCCTTTTAGGGGATTTTCAGACAGCAATGAAGAAAGTTATCAAACTTCACTCTACCAAATCAGAGAAATCATAGGCAAGGATTGTTCTTTAAAGTGAACCTTTGCTTTCCTCTTTATAAGCTCTCATTAGTTTCTAGTGAGTGCTAGCGATGTCACCTGGAGGAAGGAAGATGATCCACATGCTCCTGCATGCCCAGCACTACAGGGTCTGTTTATTGGGTCCCATCAACTGGATGAAGCAGTGAGGAAGAGATGGAAAGGTAAATATGTGCAATTGGTGAAGGCTGTATTAATGTGAACCTGTGTTTTGCTGTGCAGGTGGTTTGTCTTTAAGTGGAACAATAGGGAACATAAAAAATTACATATACAGTATACTGCAGTCTGTCACTTGCTTTAAGCTGAACTCTAGCCTTATTTGCAGTCTTGCACAGTTGTACCGACTCCTCTCCTGGACTCAAATCGCTTCCTCTGATTTCACTGCACACAATGTGTATTAGAAGCTACCGAAAGTCAGATAGAGCTCGCCTCATTTCCTGGCTGGGGGATGTTCAGCATCATCTAGCTCTTTCCTCCCCAGCCTAACTGTCCCTGGCCCATCCCTTTCATTCATTCGTTACAATTAATTTAACCATGGATGCTCAGAATCACATGGGTATGTTACCTTTAGCAGTCTTCATGTAATCGCTGCAATGTTTTCACCTTGGTGACAGTTTTAGATGAGCATGTAGCTTCAGATGAACATAAATACATTTTATATATATATATATATATTATATAATGCTGCTTGTATTATTTTTCCACTTCCTATAATAGGGTCACCATGCAGCAGAGAGAACTTCATAACTGTAGGAGAGCCTGTCACATGGCTGGGCTCTCCTCGTGCAGGGCTGGATTTCCCACAAGGCCAACCAAGGGTAGAGGGGCAGCAGGGGTGTGGAATTCCTATCTCCCGATGCCCGGGACATGCAGTTGCACAGCTTTTTTAATTGACCGCCCAGATTAAAATATGTATGGTCACACTAAAGAAGATTGCACAGATTTTGTACAGGCTGCTACATGTGTAGCCAACTTTAGAGTCTAACATCTGCCCTTAGAAAATGTTTAAATCCTCTATGCCAATTTTCTTCAGGGAAAGCAATAGTCATTATGGGCAACAGCACTGATTTTCTACCTATTATTGATATTGATTATTTTCTACTATTGATAAAACCAGCTACAGCATGTTGTACCTGACTGCTCACCCCACCACCACACTGATATTTATTTTTACACAGACGACAATCAGTTCTCTGGTTGCTTATATCACTCAGGGGATCCAAACCCAAGATCTCCACAACTGGTTGTATCCCCTGTCCCACTTTCCCAATTGCAGCCATTATCAAGCAGTGGAGTAAGTCTCACTCCTGCTGCAAAGAATCTCACTTCTTCTTCTGAATATCTGTTATTTCAAATTAATTGATCATTGAAACAGCATGGATAGTTGACTGTCCAGAGTGACCAGGGGTGGAAACAAATCTCACTGCTGGATCCCTCAAAGATATGAGACCAAGGATGGGAAAAAAATCTCACTGCTCTATATAAAAAGCCAGCAGGTGATCCAGCTCATCAACTTATACCAATAATTAAATCCATTTTGGGTGAACTTACCCTTTAAGAGAAATAGGGAAAAGCAAGCTTTGCAATAGAACATTTGTCAGGCACTGAAGTGAAACTCTATGCATTTATGCCTAATGAAGATGAACAGGATCAGTGGTCTTTCCTGGCCCCTATTGGGCACATGCCACATCACATCACCAGTGTGGCAGCCTGGCACACAGCGAGGGAAGGACAAGGGGGAAGCCCTGCAAGCGCTGCTGAGCCAAGGCTCCATCCAGAGCGCACACTCATCCTCTCCTTGGCTGCATGAAGAATAATGGGAGCTTCATGTTGTGTTAACAGAGAGCATCAGCGGAGGATTACTGTGGGACCAGTGGGAGAAGAGGGGCAGGATTAATCCCTTTAAAGTAACAATACTTGGAAAATAAGAGGCTATTTGCTGCTTGCCCATTGCAGCTGATGCTGTCACAGCCTCCCGATAGGAACGCAGATGAGATCACAGCCGCTGAAGCTCACAAAGAGTAGCAAAGAGTGCTTTTTTTTTTCCTCTTCTCCCCCAAGTCTGCATTACAGCGGGAGCGCGCAGATGTTCAGGAGCGCGCATCAGGCACACAGCAAAGATGGATTCCCAGCAGCTGCAGGGAAGGCTAGAGCCGGCCAAGTCTCCGCTGTTTTAGGAACCCTCTTTCCTTTGCAAATGGCCTGGGTATATGGCATCACCTGCTAGTCTTATTTCCAGCTGAGGGCATCTGATGGGTTACATCTCCTTTGGCTCAAAAGGCAAATGTTGCTTCCAGGGACTCTGCTGTGTCTGATTAGCCGCTTGAACGTTGGCATTCATCTCTCTGCATCACCGAACTAGCATCGGAATTTCCCTTTTCCTCTGAGCTTTGCCCTCACCCACCAACTGCATGCCCAATTCCAGGGTGCATGGACATCCACGCAGCCAGCGCTCCTAAGGATTGCAAGCACGGTGGTGGCATCTAAAGGGGGGTTTTGTGGTTCTCTCCTTTTTGTGTGTGTGTTGTCTAGTACACTGTGCAGGAGGGCATCTGATCGCTAGCCAAGATGCTGCCATCACAAGAAGCCTCCAAGCTCTACCATGACAATTACATGAGAAACTCAAGAGCCATAGGCGTGCTTTGGGCCATCTTCACCATCTGCTTTGCCATCATCAACGTGGTGGTCTTCATACAGCCCTACTGGGTAGGGGACAGCGTCAATACACCCAAGCCCGGTTACTTTGGGCTCTTCCAGTACTGTGTGGGCAATGGAGGGGGGAACAGGGAGGATACCTGCCTGGGTACCTTCACTGACTTCAGCACCATCCCCTCTGGAGCCTTCAAAGCAGCCGCCTTATTCGTGCTGCTGTCCATGGTGCTGATCCTGGGCTGCATTACCTGCTTCGCCCTCTTCTTCTTCTGCAACACGGCCACTGTGTACAAGATCTGCGCCTGGATGCAGCTGTGTGCAGGTAAATGGGGGTAAGGGGGTACTTTGTAGGCAGCAGAAGACGAGACATGACCATCTCCCGGTTGCCATTGTCAGGAGGAAGGGTCTTCCCTAGAATGCAGCCACTGATTTCCAAAGGTTTCCAGGCACTTACTATGCTTATTCTATCAGTCAAAACCTCATTGCTATATCATGGCTGTCAGGGATGAGCAAAGTTGAGGGTGTTCACTTCTCCGGCAATTTCAGCAAAAAAAAAAATGAAATTGGCTGTTTTTTTTAAGGGTACAGTGGGCTTTAACTGGCTCTTGAGGGTTCCAGAAGCACCTTTTAAATATCCTGGACCTGTCCATGTGCCTTGGCCCCTTATTAGCCTCATTGTTTTAAGCTTTTTTATACAGGAATTTAAAAAAAAAGTGAAAATAAATAATTTAGGAGAACGGTACCCAAATAATGATACAAAGAAAGTAAAGCATGAACTCAAAGAACTGTAGATCAATATACTAAGGAACTCCCCCAAGTAAAAAAGAGTAGGCTGGGTATTTTCCAAGCAGATTTTGGGCAAGCAGCTCAAAGAGCTAAGTCAAGAATTTCCACTTTGGTGAAATTAGAGCTGCCAAATAAAATTTTGCAGAAATCCCAGTGCTCATCCCTAATGCCTATGTATTCATGTCTACACCGGGATGAAGTTTAGAGTCCCTGTTCAGCAGCAAAATGAATCGTAGATGATGGATGGTTTTCATTATGGGATCCTTAGTGTAGAGACAAGGTGCATGACTGTAGTAATGTCCAATAAGGCTGCAAGTTTTTTTTCTTAATTCCTTCTTGTGTCTAGGCACCGTCATTAACCATAACACCTTAGATGAAGGATATGGTGATCTCTGGGGGTCTATTTGACATGTGGTCACACTAGGCGGTTGCCTTTGGGCTGCCTTGTTGGCGGGGCAGAAAGTAAACATCCTACGACATTATATGCTTTATTTGTGGTGAGAAGCAAGAAAATAGTTGTAGGTCAGAAGGAAATTACCATTCGGGAGTGCCTGATTACCAACCGGGGCTTATTCTGCCCTAAATCCTAATGTTACATCAACTTATAACACAGTGCTGGCGATATAGCAATGAGGGATGCAGAGGAGAGTTTAATTACAAGGTATTACGCATCCACTGGGATGTGTGAATGCTATTTTAATAAGAGGGGACAATAACTGAGAGAAAAATCTGCCTCTTGGCAGCAATAGGACACAATTGCATTACAGAACCTTTGGTAACCTAAAAATAGCACATTAGTGTCCCCTGTACTACAAGGTGTGATGCGTTATGAGCTGTATTTATCTATGGGCTGCTATGCAGCTAAGACAGTCATGCTTTGTTCATTAATCACACGGCATTCTGACACTAATATGGCTGTACATTTTTTTTATTTTTATTGTTACACAGAGAACAGATGCATTGCAACAGATTGGATGGCAAAGTGTCTGCTGCCCACACATTTTGTTGCTTAATTGTTACTATAAGGAGTCAAGTATAATCTCTGTGTATCTAATAAAAGCTCAGTCTACTTATAGCCTTGGAGAGGGAGATGCTAGATACTGTAGATAGATAGATATAGATAGATATAGATTGAAAGAGAGATGAGAGAGAGAGACATGAGAGAGAGAGACATGAGAGAGAGATGAGAAAGAGAGATGAGAGAGAGAGAGAGAAAGAGAGATGAGAGAGAGAGAGAGAAAGAGAGATGAGAGAGAGAGAGAGAGAGATGAGAGAGATAGATGAGAAAGAGAGATGAGAGAGAGACACGAGAGAGAGACATGAGAGAGACAGATATACATAGATAGACAGAGAGAGAGAGAGATGAGAAAGAGAGATGAGAGAGAGACATGAGAGAGAGAGACAAATATACATAGATAGATAGATAGAGAGAGAGAGAGAGAGAGAGAGGAGAAAGAGAGATGAGAGAGAGACATGAGAGAGAGAGACATGAGAGAGAGAGAGAGACATGAGAGAGAGAGAGAGAGAGAGACATGAGAGAGAGAGAGAGAGAGAGACATGAGAGAGAGAGAGAGAGAGAGACATGAGAGAGAGAGAGAGAGAGAGACATGAGAGAGAGAGAGAGAGAGAGACATGAGAGAGAGAGAGAGAGAGAGACATGAGAGAGAGAGAGAGAGAGAGACATGAGAGAGAGAGAGAGAGAGAGACATGAGAGAGAGAGACAGATATACATAGATAGACAGAGCGAGAGAGAGAGAGATGAGAAAGAGAGATGAGAGAGAGACATGAGAGAGAGAGACAGATATACATAGATAGAGAGAGAGAGAGAGAGAGAGAGAGATGGGACATGCATAGATACATGCATAGATGGCATATATTTATGTCCATGTCCTATGCTGTCATTGTTTTCATTTTGTGTATTTTTAAATCAGTTGAAAATATACAATGTAATTGGTAAAATTACCAAAATGATAATTGTTTTTAAAACATTGAAATTAAAAACATATCTTAGACACCCATATTGGTTATTTAATGTATCTTTCATCTTATCAGGATTTTAAGGAAAGTCCTACATTTTAAGCTTCAGACCCGATTTGCAATGCCATATCCCTAAAATATATACAAT